ATGGCCGCCAGTGAATACTCCCTATTCTTTTTATAATCTCGACCCGCACCAAGACGCTCTTTGTCTATCAAAATTTTCGAAGCCTCGAAATGGTAGCTATGGAGAATCATCGCACACATGCAGCGGAGCGCTACAAGCATAGCACTGACCTCGCGCTAAGTGCGTGCTGACGGGAGCGTTCACCAGCTTTGTATCGCATTGTCAAAGCTGTTGCTCATGGCAGACGATAAGCAGCTGACGACACCTGAGCAGCGCTACACCAGCGCTTCTCTGCATGTGAGAACAGGCCTTTACTCGTCAATATAAGCGTCGTTGACTCTGGGCATGCAGTCAACTTATCGATCAGATCTCTTACAATGACATTGTTCTTCTTGCGTATTTAAAGACAGGAAAGTTGTTTTTCCATGCCTACAAGCACTTATGCCGCATGTAGTGGCGGTACAAAAATGTGCGCTTGTTTCGCCGGTGTGTGGATAGCGAAACCTCGGAATACAAGAAACGTCTTTTTAAAGCTACCTTCGCCAGCGAATTTAGATCGACTTTCCAAAATGGCGAGCATTCGGGGAGCTTGGCGCTACTTTCCCAGGATCCAGTTGCTTTAACCGTCTACGCAGAATGCATCCACCGTTCAATAGACCTTTTCCACAAGGACGCCGCCATCTTGAATTGTCGTCAAGTATGGACAAAACGTTTTTTTTTTTTTTTGCCGTCGCCACGCCTATAGAAGGCATTTAAGATATAAGCGTAACCGTCACACATCCTTGTTTTGCCTCCCATCTATTTTTTTTACTATTGGAAGGTTAAAAAGTTTTATTATTTTTTTCGTCGCCCATACCGGATACGCCTACAAGATGGCTGGGGACGAGAGTACACGAAAAAGGTCTGTAGACCTTTCCAGCGGCAGTCTCGAACGAAGCGATTTACAGCGCGCGTCCCTGGTTTTGAGAGTGTACATCAGTGTTGCCCGACTGTGCTGGGCTGTGGATTTTCTGGTCAGTCGGCTGTGGCAGCCTGCGTAGGCGCACTTCCGGACGCTGGTGGCGGCTAAATTTCCGAATTTTATTTTTCTTTCGTGCTCTGTGGCGAATAGAATTTCTCGAGGTTTTTAAAAAAGCATTGTATTAACTTTGGGATCAAAAACAAATCAATGAAAGACATTTTTGGTGAGTCAGTCGGCCGTGTCAATCTACAAAGGTCTTGACTTTCTTGAATAATTGACCACACAAAATAGCCGAAATGCGTGGGTATTCCCACCTCCCAACACGAAATTCAACGAGTCTCATCAATCGAACAACGTATATTGTACGTACTCCACAGTACCATGTTAACCAAACAGGATTTGAGAAAGGTCTCAAAGAACACAGCATATCCGATATACAGTGTCGACGACAGTCTCTTCACGACGATCAGATGGAATCCGGCTTATTTTAAAGCACGTTTTAAGAAAAGCTGTTGTTTTTATGTGTGTGTGTGTGTGTGTGTGTGTGTGTGTGTTTTTTTTTTTTTTCACAGTATTGAAGCAAATGAACGAACGAGTCTAACCTGTCCCCGTATACCCTGTACCCGACCCTACCATGTATTTTTTGTGAAGACCGGGAACATAGCAGGGAAGGCTTTTCGGAAATCATCTCGAAGGAATTAAACCTTAAAGAATGTCGAACGGCCTCTGCAGGTGGCAGCTCCTTGACGTCCGCTTTCTTCGTTCGTTTCCTGCGTAGGCCAAGCAGGCTTTCACAGGAAGGCCTGCTCTGGTATTTCCTAGTTCCTAGAAAGGCCTGGTATTTCCTGGTTCTCAAAGTGGAAGATAACACGGAAAGGCTAATTATCCTGAAGGGGCAAATAAATTGTAATATTTAAAGAAAAGCCGGCGAATTCTGAATGCACGATGCAGGTGGGGAGTCGCGACGACCGGGTTTCCACAGCTCAGGCGGGTGGCAGAAATTTCTGGCTGATAGGGGTCGTCCTAGTCGCAAGATGGCGGCATCCGGAGGTCTCTTTTTGTAAACGTCTATACTTCCAGAAATCTAACGAACAACACTGGCAGCGGCCATATCTCCCTGCGCGAAACGTATGATGGAAGTGTACGCCGACTGCTTATGCAGCACTCGTGTCGAATAGATTAGGGTATACTCGTGTCCTGTGCGTTCTCAAAGTTCGTGGGTAGACTATGGCGTCCTCTGCTACGAGGGCGCGCACTTATCAGAAGGCTCTATTCAAAGGGGTAGGGCGAGGGTGAGACGGGCCGGGGAGGATGAAGCAGACGGAACGCTAGAGAAAAGAGGTAAAATCCTCCTCCTCTCTTCAGCGTTCCGTCTGCTTCCTCCTCCCCGGCCCGTCTTACCCTCGCTTTACCTTCTTGAGTTGCAACGGCAGAAACCCGCGCATAGCGCGCTCGCTTTGAGGGGGATCGCGATCGAATCCCGACGAGCTTGCGGAAGTCCTCGGAATCCTGTCGAGGGGAGAGAAATGGTGCGAAGAGGAAGCGCCGAGCGTCCGTAAAATCTGGGCTAGGAAGCGGGCCTCCCTGAAAGCGGGAAACAAAAAAGAACATCCAGACTGATAACATCTGCAGGATAGAGCCTTAAAGAAACAGCGAGTACGATTTGCCGGGCGTCTTCTCTCTCAAATGCTCGTCTTTCTTCTTCCCCTGCTTTTTTTTCCACCTCATGTAGGGCGGTTTAACGTGGCGTAATTCCGGCTCGAAATCTCAGCTTTCTTTCGTACGTATTGTTACGCGCGGAGGCAGAGTTTTACAGGTTGCTCGAGTTCTTTCGCGTCCTAATTGACTGCCAGAAAAGTGAGAAACATAAAAGAACGTCGGCTGGTCTGAGGTTCTTATACATACCGGTCTTGATTGGGACTTCCGACGGGCCGGCAATCGAGAAGTCGAGCCGTCGACGGCCGAAATGGCCTTGCCGCCGAGGCGACTTGGAAAGAACAAAAAGCGGAGTAAACGGGAGCGGCTCAAATACGTCCTCGGTGGTATTGGCGACGTGCGCGATCGAAAGCGTCGCCGTGATCGGCCTTCCATGATTGGCCGAATGCTGACTATGACGTCAGCAAAGGATTTTTCATCAGCGGAAACAAAAGCAATGTAAAAACTCCATTTTTGACGGTGTTGGCAGTGTTACTTTAAGAGCGCAATAATTTCAAGCTTCCACCATGCTTATTACGAACACCGTTGAACTTGTTTTTCGAAAGGTAATGACGTCACGAGAGGGAACCATAGGAGGGCGCCAGCCCCCCCCCCCCCCACCCCCCCCCCTCTCCCCCCAAAACATCTAATACTATATTGAGGTCTGTCGTTGCTCCTTCTTATGCTTGAGCGCGACACTGAAAACGACGGCCCGAATGCAGACTAATGGGTACTGGTTCATAGTTCCGAGAGTGAAAGCGCTAAAAAACAACGGACAAGAGAAAGAAACGAACAACACAGTGTTTTTTCGAATGCGAATGCGAGTTCCTCTGTGTTTTCCGTTTCTTTCATTTGTCGCTTGTTTTTTTAGCGCTTTTATCCTTGGAACTATGATTCAGCAGCTAGCCCAAGTGCATACCATTCTGCTGGTTCATCAACGTGACGGAATTAAAAAGGCGACTTATGGCGGTATGGCATAGTGTTATCACTTAGCAGCCATTGCGGAATTCGAAACGTGAATATGTTCTCTCGAGATCAAACGCCTCAGTTCAAAATTCAGCGGCGTTATCATATAAGAGCTACTGAACCTCGCAAGGCAAGCGGGATTATCTGCCTCGCAGAAATCCTTGTTACCTAGGGCCTGTTGTTATCGCGGCACTCGTTTCGTGCCAATTTGCCTCCAACAAAGAGCGAAAAAGAACTCGGGTGCAAAATACGTAAATACCTTTGGAAAAAACTCGGTCCGAAATTTGATTTTAGTCCAACCCGTAGAGAACGCGAACACGCACATCTAACGGCGGTGATTAACATTAGGCGCCGTTCTTTCAACGTATTCTTAGTACAACGGAGCAACTCGCATCCGCATTACAAAATAGAACGGTAAGGTAACCGGAAATGCGCACCGGATCGTGCTCATTCCTTTTCTCGTATTTTGTTCTCTCGTGTTTCGTGGTGACTTTACTAACACACTTTTCTTGCCTCGTTTGCGTGACTATCTGTTTTCTTCTTTGCCTTCGTAGTCTGCTGAGCGGTTCGTAAGAGACGTCTGATCGAAGATTATCCGTGCATATTTATGCGTATACAAATTGCGGTTGTATATTTAGACGCCGAAAACCAGTTTTCGATTCGAGCAATATGCAACTTTGTGTTCTCCGCGATGTAACGCGAAGATGTCCTATTTCCTCGTAGCACGCCACGATTTCTGCGAAAGACCGTTGACAGTGTTATGAACCTGCAGGTGAATGATTGAGTCACCGACGATTCCTAGCTCTCAGAGTGTCGCAAACCCCTCGACTAACGCTCGTCGTTCGCCACTAAGAGAACGATGGTATTGAAGCGATATAAATTAAAAACGAGGATGTCTGTGATCTCGTTCTGGTATATATTACGCAATGTTGTAGTCCTCTTGATATGTCTTCAAATATATATCAATAATTATTAAATATAAATATAATTTAGACATCAACACGCTCAACCACTACGTTGTACTTTTCTTCGCTCATTTTCTGCCGGAAACGGTCGACCATTCAGAGTCAATCCCCAATAATGACAGGCTAGCGGAGCGATCCAGTTCGATTATAAGAGATTTCAATCGAAACGTCGTTCGTATGTTGTGTGCCGTGCAAAGAGAAAGGACGCCATTTAGATTTAGCTTGCATTGCAAAAGATAGTGAATAATACGCAGATGCAATTACTGCCCATAAATCCACCTTGCGTAATTGTATAGACAATGCGGATTTTGATAGATTTCATTAAATTAGCCCAGTACACATCGATAGATAAATCAAAGTAAGGTATATTATCACTTCTAGAAGACTAGCCCGATACTCAATCTTTCCGGTTTGTTTTTTTCTGGTTTCCGCAGACCTTGGTCTTTCTGGACGAAGCCATGCTGAAGCTGCTGCTCAACCACTGGCAAGAGTCGTACAGCAAGAGTCCCGCCAGGGTGACCAGCGAGGACCCGCTGCTCTGCACGGACCTCGCCAAGACGAGGCCCAACGAAGAGTTCCTCGTGTCCCGGGTCAACCCCTTGTTCGTCGACTCCAGCACAGAGGCCTCGCCGAGCAGCACCATCAAGAAATCCTCCGAGACCACGGCGGACGTGCACAATCCCCAAGACGGCGACGAACCGGACAATTCAACACTAGTGAAGAAACCTCCGGAGCCGCCGGATCCCCCTCCAACGCCGACGACCGCTTCGACGGCGACGCCGGACTCCGGTTCTATAGCGTCGACATCCACCAGGGCCGTCCATGAGCCGAAAGTGGAAGCGACGAAGAGTGAGACGCAACTAGAGCCGAGAGAATTGTCGCCGCATCGCCAAATCAGTCCTCAGCCGGAGTCCGTTGCGAAGCCGGAAGGGCAGTCTGATACGCAGAAAACGGACACTTGGAACTCAGACAGATCTTCCTCTCCGCGGCCGCTAGTGGAGCTGAGAGAGTGGCAAGAGAACGGCAAGAAGCAAGAGGACCACGTGCTCAACCGACTCCGGAACTCCGGCAGGGCGTCGATCATCACCAAGGAGAAGTTGAGTCTCGTTGAAAAAGTGATCGCCGAGCGGTTGGGTAAGAGGATTCCAGAACCGGGAATTCGAAGGACCATTGAACTTCTAAATAAGGACGCAGTCCCTGCGTCCCAGGAGGCGCAACCTACCAAGCAGCAAGAATACGTTCAACCGGACTCCGGAGCAGAAGTCAAAACAAATTTCAGAGCAGATAGCAAAGAAGACGTCAAGACTGAGGTCAAAACAGACTTGAAGAAAGACTTCAAGACAAACGTCGAAACAGACGTCAAGACAAACGTCGAAACAGACGTCAAGACAGTGGTAAAAGCAGACGTCCAAACCGAGTTGAAAGCAAACTCTCCTCCAGTAGCACCTCCCCTGCCTCCGGCTCCTGTCGTAGCACCGGTCTCCGTCTTAGACGGCAGTGTCCAGATAGAAGATATCCGGAAGCCTCAAGAATCCTCCTTCGAAGCGGATGCCGCGGATTCGAATCCCAAAGACGAGACCGCAGGGGCAGTGAGGATGCCCAAGCTAGAAGACGGAAGTACGCAGTCCGACTCTATGACAGACTCTTCGAACAAGAAACCCGAAGTCAAGGACAAGTCTTCCGGACCATCTACTTCTGAGGACAGCGGCATCACCCGAGGGGACCAGGTCTACTCCGATTCAGGAAAGCGCAAGGTTGCAACAAAGTCAGACTCTTCGGAGCAGAGCAGTACGGAATCGACGAAGGGTAAACGGCAGCGGAGGACCAAGAAAGAGGCCCTCCGTGAAAGTATGCGCAGGCGCCAGAAGTCAAACTATAAGTCGCGCTGCAGCGCCTGCAAAAACGTGCTCCCGAAGAAGGACCGACCTCCGCATCCCAGGGTCCACAAGCACAAGAGGTCCGCGGAGTCTGGCCTTGTGTCCGGTTCCGGATCTCTGTCGGACCTTGCGTTCGAATATCCGTACCTCAGCGACCCGTGTCCGGCGCACTGCAGGCACAAGAGATCCTCCATCACATGCATGGAGAGCTGCAGGGATTACCCCTGCGAGGATTTTTGTAATTCGGTCTACAGGTGGGTTGTATCTCAATCCTTATACAATGTAACTTTGCATCTTGTAAATAGGAATTGTGGCTTTCACACATCCCATTCGATTGAATGACATTTCAGCGATCAGCTAATCAGCGCGCGACACTCTGGGCGTGACACTCTGGGCGTAGCGCATTGCGTGCGACAGATCGCGAGCTGATTCGCCGATCACACAAATATCATTCGATGGAACTGACATTAAATTGCCAGTCTGACAGGGGTAACACAGCTGGCGATGGCGAATGCATCCTTTAACGCTGCAGGTGAAACGGCTCTGTTTTCTTTACACGCCCTAACGGCAGCAACCGTGCTGCAGCTTCCATGCTCGTACTGTGCACACTAAAGTTAGATCGTAGTGGCTCTTCGATGACACCAGAGAAAGCAGCATTGGGTATGATCAACCTTAATCGGGTACGCGCGATGTTCCCAAGAGATTAAAATACAGCGGGACAGGGCAGGTAAAGCAACGTTAGTATAAGGTAGGCTTTCGAACGCTATCGAGCAAGTTCTGAAGCAGTCTCGAAGCCACGGAAGCAGCACTGCCATTATTCATGGCCGTGACTACTTAATTACAGCACGCTCCAGTGACGGAAGATGCCGGTTTTGGGCACCTTCTTTTTTGTCATATTCGGCAGGTATAAATGAGCTACGGTAACCATCAGTCGTGTATTGTTTTTATTTACCCTATAAGGTTCATATCTCCCTAACGAGCGGATACCTGCTATAAATACTGTGCGTGTCGCACGTGCGCGTCTTCGCGAAAGATAAAAACAAGATTACAACGGAAACTATACTATAATAAGGCTATGATACTCAGAAAGCCACTATTTCAGAACTAAAGCTAAATAGGTGGACGACTTGTCTTGAGAAGGAAACTACCAGGAAGCCTGAGCAGCCGCCTCTCTCTTGCTCAAACATTGGCTGCCGTTCTCGGGCTACGTAGAGACACTTATCGAATCATTCCTTTTATCTAATGATACTTCACTTTTTTTTGTTTATACTTGAACGATCTGGTGTAAGTGAAAGAGGGTTGGACATTTTTTCCTGACACAACATATGACTCCATGTTTTTTTTCTTTATGAGTCTGCGCGTTCCCACGAATCTTACGACAAACAGGGTTTGAGATGGCTAATACAGTTAATTTTTTTTTAAATCGCGTTCACTCCCTTTATTATTTGAAATACAAAACAATCGTGTAAATTAGTGTTTTATTTTCCTTACAGCGACCAGATGATGGTGCATCCCACGAATAATTCGCGTTCACGCGCTGCCGGCCAAAAGAAACAGTTCCGCAGTCACTGCCCAAGCAACACAGGTTTGGCCAATCATTGGCCAATGACTGGAAGTTGTCCTTTGGCCAGGGGCCAGACAGTGGCCAGCCATTGGATTATGACTGTCCTTTCTTTGGTCATTGGCCATTGGCCATCAGCCAACTGCTAAGCATTGGCCGATGAATGGCCACTCCTTGGCTATTGGCCAGAAGACCATCGCCAGCCATTGTCCAATGCTTAAACAAATTCCGTGCTGCTTGGGTTCGTAGTTTAGTTAAGAAACACCTTTATGAACGCGACCTCCCGTAGCGGCGAGGACCAACTTTCTCCTATGAGCGACGTGTGAGATCGAAAGCGTCGCTGTGGTCGGCCTGCCACGATTGACCGAATGCTGACTATGACGTCGGCAAAGGATTTCTGATCGACGGAAATTAGAGTAATATAAGAACTTCAACTTTGGCGATGTTTTCAGTGTTGGTTTCAGAGCGCAATGATTGTTTGCCTTTATTGTTCACAAAGGTAATGTTGTCAGGAGAGGGAACCATGGGAGGGCGTCACAAAAACATATAGCTCCTAATAGACCGACTACTAAATTACCCAAGCATCAAGGAGAATGCAGGGATTGGTGTTCCACGCGCCGCACGTGCTGGCCTCAGAAGTAGGAATGTTTTAAAGCAAATGCCTAAAACGAATTGCATCTTGCCTGCGCGCTCGTCAACGCTTTACTTTGGTTACTTAGTTCGAAGCTTTTACAGGGGGAAGGCGTGCGCATGGGGCGCGTGGAACACCAATCCATGCATTCTCTTCGATACGGGCTTAAGCTGAGCAAGTTGGTTCATTGCTTGTGAATGGGTCCAGCAGAATATAAAGAACACACAGAAAAAATTTTAACATTCGCACCGCTGGACGAGCAACTTTTAATATTTCCGCTTTTACCTTTTCTGCTAATCCTTGTTTCCGGTTTTCTTTTTCTTTACACTAACCTAGATTTGTTTTTAATTCTTTACACTTGATTTAGGTTTTATTTCGGGCCCATTGTCGCGCATGCCAATGCGAGGCAACGTTGTGCAACGTCAACATCGTGGGGAAACATAAAAATCAACTCGTCCGTGAACTACTGGAAGCCCTAGCCATCGAAGAAAAAGGCCAGGACTGTGTATGTGCCCCTTTCATTGCACTATACAACTCGGAGACGATTTTCCTGCGGAGTGACATGAGTTCCAGGCAGAAGGTAGAAGAAGGGGAAGATCGCTTAAAGAAGACAGAAGAGAAGGAATGAGAACATTCTGACAGCAGAAAGGTCAATGCGTTAAAGGAAAAGAAATATCGAATTAAGTGTAAAGAAAAGAAAAACCCAAGTCAAGTGTAAAGAATTAAAAAATCTAAGTTATTTTAAAGAAAAAGAAAACCCGGAATCAAGGATTAGCAGAAAAGGAAAAAGAGGAATTATTAAATGTTGCTAGTTCAGCGGTCCAAATGTTATGTCTTTTTTTTTTTTTTTGTGTTCTCTTTGATGCTTGGGTAATTTAGCAATACGTCTATATGGGTATTCCCCTCACCAGAGCCGTATATGCAGAGTTTGGTCATTTGTTGAGAAATATAGGAGACAAATCAGGTGGTGCCATTGGCCGAAAGCGGGCTAAGCGTGTTCCAGGGCGTCTTCGGAAATTCGAATGTGGCCAACCAGAAGCCGGAAATAATACCCTGGCGATGGTCGCGACAAACAAACTTGATAAGCGCATCGGAGTAACACTCGGTGACTGAAAATATAGTGGCCGTGATGTTTCAATCAACGTCATCCAAAATCATGGTGGAAGAGTGCGACTAGCGGAACGATCGACATAATCAGTACGCCAAGCGCCGAGGGCCGGGAATCTGCCATCCGAGCGGTCACACACTGCCTGAGCAAAACAGAGTTGAGCGGCGCATTCGTTCCTTACATCTTCTTGCATGATCATGGTCGAAACATCACGTGCACCTTATTTTCAAGCATGAAAAGTTAATATACTTCACTCTTACGCGCTTATTAAAACCATATACGAACACATACCTTTGGTCGAAACAGTTTCTCGCTACCACCGCCAGGAGATTCTTTTCGGCTTCTGGTTGGCCAAGAGAGCACGCCAAGCCCACATTCTGCGTCTGGTGCACGCCCTGGCTCTGCCCGCGCCTCCCATTGGCCAAATTATCTGTATACACGGCTCTGCCCTTCGCTGGACGCCATATTTGTAGGCGCTGTTTAGAGCACATGCTCAGAACGAGTTCACATTAATAGGGTGCCAAGACCGGCAGTCTTAAAAACGTAAAATATACGTTGCAAAAAAAAGAAAAAAAAACCTGTGGAAGTTTGTCGTCAGCACGCGCTCTGCAGCCAATGCCACAAACATGAGAGCACAAGGTCGCAGTTTTGAAAAGTTTTACCAAAAAGCGAGCACTCTAGAAATGCACGTATCAAAGCAATAGGAGTACGGGTTGGGTCGCGCGTGTAGCTTTGGCTGCAATCTCAGCTTAAGGGGGCAGAAGATCGAGCTATAGGGGGCGCTTTATCGATCTTGTCACTAGGGTGCCTACATGTCTGTCTGTCTCAGGGTGAAGACATCCATTGTTGTTCTGAATGTGCCAGCGCGTGACGCTCTCGCGCACTCGGTGCGTGACTTGGGCGGTAAAATGGCGTCCATGCATTAGCCAAAGCTACGCGCTCGAGCTGAGTGACACCGGATGGCACGCAGTTCAAGGCAGTTTGATACTTTAGCCCCATGTTCCGGATAAAAAAAACAGGACGCGGGATGGCCAAAAAAACATGCTTTTCGTGCAAGGCTCGTCAAATTATGAGGCGCTGGAGAAATGCAGCCTTCTGCGTTAAGTCCTTATTTCGAACTCTTTTTGTTCGCCTTCCGCCCATTGAAAAGCATGCGGGAAGGGTCTTAGAACGCACCTGGTGTCGCTGCGCCGCAGCGTTCTTCCGCATCAAAAAGTTCGTCTGCTTTCCTTGCCGTCACCATGGCAACGAACGCCGAATGAATAGAAGCACGCATAGTACCCGCCGCGTGAAGCTAGCAACAGCTGACGCCATTTTACGAACGCCGTCTGCTAGCCAAAGCCGAACGCGGTGTGTCAGATCAACCGCTTCCGCCGGTGCGCCGCTAGCAAAGACGACGAAGCTGAGACACGCCGACGGCGATCGAGCAAGCAACAACATTGCGGGACGACTGCAACGGCGGCATTTATTCGGATCAAAGGCCGGCTTCGCCGGTGCGCCGCTAGCAAAGACGACGAAGCTGAGGCACGGTGACGGCGAATGGGCGAGCAACAGCACCGCGGGACGACTGCAACTGCGGCATTTATTTTGATCACAGGCGCGAAATAAGCAAGAACAATTTTTATTTGAATCATAACACTCGATATCCAAGTTGGGGACCACATACCTTTGCTGGGTCTTTCCTGTGAACTTTTTACAGAGACACGGGGTGCCGCATTAAAAACACAGCTCCGTTTGCAAAATATGGGGGCCCTGAAAAGGACCGTTTAGACCGCTACCAGAACCTATAACTGACGTAACGAGCACTTGACGAGCGGTTGGCGCATAAGTCGTCTTTATGCATGCAGGCGGGTGACGGGCTCAGCGCAGCGGATCCCTCGAAGTCACCGGGGCCGTCAGAATCCTCGCCCTGTCTGCGTCGGGGCTCTAGATTTTGGCGGCCGCGGCGACGAAC